CGGATCCAGACATAATTGTCGGGATCCGCTTCAGCGGCGGCGTCTCAGTATACCGCGAGCTGTAGCTCGCGGTATACTGAGCTTAGGGTGCCGGGAGGACGCTAGTTTGTGTCCTACCGTTACCCTAAGGAGAACTATGGGGAAAAGCCTTAACCCCATAGTTCTCCTTTTAAGCATTAGTTCCGCATTGGTCTCTAAACAACTAAAAGACAAATTATGCAGAATAGGGATCCTTGATACTCTGAATAAGTAAATCGGGCTAGTTACTCAGATTGATTGGATACTCAATTAACGCAAGTTGGAGAAGATGGAAGCCTAAGATTCTACTTGGCTCCTGCTGACCAGTCAACTTCAATAGCTTCAGCTCCAATATATCTTGTCCAGCATCTCTGGAGCCACCATACAGTTACTCATGTTTTCCTTATTATTTCTTTGCAGAGCACCCATAAACAACAAAGTACCGGCCATCATTAATTGTGGCGTTTGCATGTGTTTTCTGGATGCTTCTCTAACTCAGCAACTCCATTTACCCCTTCATACCAAGACATAGTCTCTAGACATTCGGCTTTCTGATGGGTTCGACCATCAAATCTGGGCCAGTCACACAAGACATTTCGCTTCTCACAACATTCTTTCTGGGTCACAAGAAATCCCTGAATTTTAATATATACCTTCACACCCTGGTTACAAGCCCATAGCCCATATATAAACTGGTCCTCTGGTGAGATATCCTTTTCTTCTATTTTTCACCAGTTCTGCATGGTCATTGTCTCCTCTGCGAGGACAATGAGAAGATAATTCCACTAGTTTACTTTGAGTACTTAGATGTCTTTGACAGGAAGGGGGAAGGTTCATTCTCTTCCTCCATATTGTGACTGTCCATTTAAGGTTTTACCCGGTGCTACGGTACCCTTTGGCTGAATCTTTCCATGATCTGAACCTAAGGAGTACATTAACGAAAAACTCTCCTGGGGAGGACAGGCATATATGTTTTGTAGAAAAAAAGGTACATATTCTCTTTACCCCTGTAGTGACTACTGGGCCCTCAACAAGATGATAATAAAAAATCCCTACCCACTCAATTTCTACCAAGCTAGTGAAAAGCCTATAATCTAGTAAGAATCTGGGAGGGCTATGAGTGGAAGACAGTCTTTCACACCAGGCTTAGCCACCTCCAGTATCCGGTGATACCTTTTGGGCTCTGTAGTGACCCTAGAACGTACCAATATTTTATCTTCAGATATCATCAATGTGTTTATCGTTATCTACCTAAATGATATCTTGATTTTTTCCTCTTCTCTTTAAGAGCACAAAGTCCATGTTAAAATGGCCTTAAGCCATCTTCGTAAGCACAGACTCTACGCTAAGCCAGAGAAGTGAAAATTCTAAAAGAGCCCCATTGTGGTCTGCAGGCGTCACTATGAACCCTAACAAGGTTTCCACAGTCCTTGAATTGCTGTCCCCCACCAACAAAAAGGATATTAATCAGTTGCTGGAGTCCACCATTTTTTTCTTTACCACAAGTTCATAAATAACTTTGCCACCATAGTTGCCATGCTGACCCAACCATGTGTCCTTCTCATGTCCACCTTTAACCAAATCCACTTTAGACAGGTTCAAATCCTTGTTCACTTCTTCATCAATCCTGAAGCATTCAGATCCATTCTTACCTTTCGTTCTGGAGGTGGACACTTCTGAAATGTCAGTAGGTGTATTTCTTTCTGAAAGTTCTGGACCCAAGTGACTCTTGCACCCTGTTGCCTTCTCCTCGCAGAAGAAGAGCTCATCCGAAATGAACTATGATATTGGTGACAGAGAATTGTTGGCAATAGAGGCTGACTTGGAGGAATTGTGCTACTTACTGGAGGGAGCAGCCCATCCACTCTAATTTTCACCAATCATAAGATTCTGTAGTACCCACAAACTACCAAACATCTTAAACCTCGCCAGACCATGTGGGCTCTCTTTTTCCAGATTAATTTTTCACTAAGGAAATTATTAGGCTCTGTGCTGTCTACAGTGGCATTGTATCTGACAGAAGGGTCCAGTTCATGTAAAAATGTTGACAGAAACTTTGTAAGACATTGCAAATCTATACCGAAAGTACAAACTAGATTTCTAAAGTGCAATATCTAAAGTATTTAGATCCTTAGAATCCTCCTGCTTCTCAGCACAGTTGGGCGTCTTTGCTACCCATGGTAGAGTTTGCTTATACAGCAACAATGCCCCACACTCTGCCATCTTGCAGTCTCTGTTTTTTTCTCTAGTTATGGATTACATCTTGTTTCTTTCCACATGTGTTCTGCTGAATTTTTAGTTCTTGAAATGCAAGACAGGTTTGCCTTTTTAATGTCCAATTTAAAGAAAATCCAGTCTTTGTTGTCAAAAGCCCAATCCAGAACCATTCGAGGGGCAGGCGAGAAATAAAGGGAATGGCCTTCCATTAAACCTCATGATTTGGTATTGCTTTCTACTGCCAACTTAAAAACTATGGTGTATAAAATTGCGTCCGAAGTTCATTAGTACATTTCCTATTTAGAATGCCATCAATTTCAAGCTCATGTTTCCAGACTCGCTTACGGGTTCACCCAATCTTTTGTCTAATACCAGTGTCACCAAATTCTTTTCCCAGCAGGTCTACTCCACTGCCTCCTCTAATCTTGATGAATGGCAGTAAAGAGTTTGAGTTGGAGAATTTAGACTCGAAAAGACTGGCTGGGCATCTTTAATATCTAATCAAATGGAAGGGTTTTGGCATGGAGGAAATTTTTGGGAACCTTCAAGCTACGTCCAAGCTCACCCTGAGAAAAACCTGGTCCAAAGAGGAGTTGGGGCAATGTTACAGTACCTCCTAGGATCTGCATCTGTACATCCAGGGGCCATCCTGACTGTGTGTGGTGGATTGCGGTGTTTTAGATATGGCCGGTTACATAAGTGTGAGCTTGCAAGTGTTGGCACTTATGTATTAGTGTGTTTCGATTTGTGTGCATTGGCATGGATACTTGAGGCTGGCTTACACATTGGCCAAGGAGCATAATTAATCTCCTTCCACTATGCAAGCTGATACTGTAACATCTTGCCAAATTGCCTTGTTCATGAGAACTGTTCTGCCTTGTTACTGAACCAGTTTGCCTGATTATGCCCATATCTCCTGCCCTCGTTGTTGGCCCTGCTTGTTCTTGTTACTATTGCCTGCCTCCTGCCTTGTGCTCTGCCTGGACTTTGGCTACCATTACCTGCCGCCTGTCTAGGCATCAGCCTGAACCTCGATCAGCTATAGTGCCTTATACCGGCCTTCACATTGTAGTCATCATGTTCCTGCAACCCCCTTGGTGGAACAATCCTGACGGCCATGACCTGGTGACCTCTCGCAGTAAAATATACTAGGGGCCGCTAGGGCCACTGGCCCACGAGTACTTGCATGGTGCTCTGCCACTTAGTCTCCTTGCCTAAGGTGTACCTCTGGCCCTATGATGCAGGTGACGTTCATCAGAGGAGAACATAGCCTATAACTGGGCTGTCAGCGGACAGAAAACTCTGGTCACCTGCCAGAGATATCACGGACTAGAACAGGAAATTTCTCTGAATTTGGGGGACCTGTCCACCTGGGGCTAGATCCTTTTCTTGGGTTGATCTTTTTTTAAAGGTCCTTTTTAATCAGGCAGCTTGTTCTTTCTGTATTACCAAGATTCCTGTTGCTCACTCCTTAGATGCTGTTGCAGCACCGGATCTGGGGTATTTGGGAGTATTCATAAACCTATGGATTGAGATCAAGGATAGGCAGAATCAGTCTTCAGCTGGTTTCCTCTGCAGTAACTCCAGTGTTACTGCTTGGCTCAAAAGAATATGTATTCTCTTCATCCTCTGTTCTAACTCTGTTTCCTGTACACCAGTGTGCAGCTTGGGTTTCAATCCCATGTCCTGCCCACCCATGTGGGGGAAGGGGGGGGGGTGACAGAGGATGTGGGAGACACAGAGCCCAAGAGTAGTTTTATGGACCTGTGCCAAAGGGGTGGTTTTATTAAGGGGCCAACACACAAGCGGTAGTCCGGCACAGTATGGTTGAATGCACAGGGTCACAGGGCAGCGGTTTGGGCACAGCAAGGGTTAAATCCTTAGGGTCACAGGGCAGCTGCTCTCTGACTCATGTTGGTTTTACCTTCTATGTGGTGTCACCCCCCTTGGTGGTGACTTTTTCTTCTTGGTTTTTGCTTCAGGTTGATTCTGCATGCCCTCCCCCAGGTCGGTGGGCTGCAAGCAGTTGCTTTTGGGTCTGTTAGCAGTTGTTGCTATGTTGCCCACCTCTGCAATGATAACATATCCAAGAGGGGAGGGGCTTTGCTTCTCCAATCACACTGCCTTTTTTGTTTACTAAGTTAAATCAGCGCTGAAACTATGCAGGCAGCATCAGCTGGGAGATCAACTTGCCTAGGACTGCCTACCTACCCACTGGGTGTCACTAGACCCCAATCTCTACAGGCAATACAGCTTATT